TTCTGTTCAGCATTTCAGCTCAGCCTGAAGCGACACAGTGACAGCCTGATATACGTATATATGTATAGCGACGAAATAGCGCCTGCCTTCATAGTGGCAAATTGTCACTGTCTCTGTTCCACGTGGGGTTCCCAGGTGGCTCGGGACAACCTCAACATCTGCACTGGACTTTATTCAAGTTGCATATTCTCTCTATTATCACCTGATAATAACAATAATAATAGGTCCTTTATTTTTCATCAAACATAGGATGAGGGAGGCAGGAAAAAAGCTTGACGAGCTCCGACACCCCCCCCCCCCCCCCAAAAAAAAAAAAAGTGCACTTCGGCACATTTACAGCAGACTTGTTTGTGTTACCCCCCGTATTCTATCTAGAACGTCCCTTCACTTAACGCTTCATCTCGACTTGCTGGATGGATGGATGGATGGATGGATGTGGCTGTACCCTTTAGATCGGGCGGCGGCTAACGCCACCTAGCCGTAATACTTAGTGAACTAACCATTACATTTATCTTTTTTTTTTCCTTTATATAATGAAGTTGAGGATTCGTACTTCGCAGTGAAGGGTTTAATTTTCACACGTGCCTTGACTTTAGCCACCAATCAGATAACCTCCTTCTAGTTAAGTCTACCCGCTTAAAGTCTATTTTGCCCTCGCTGTCCCTAAATCCCAGTGCTTTGAAAAACTCTGCGCCATCATCCTGAACTATAGGGTGAAGCCCTTTACAGAACATTATCAAGTGTTCGGCAGTTTCTTCTTCCTCTCCACACGCACTGCATACTGTGTCGACCCCTTCGTATTTGGCCCGATATGTCTTGGTTCGCAGTACTCCCGTCCTGGCCTCAAACAGTAGAGAACTACCCCGAGTATTATCATAGATCCTTTCCTTGGCAATTTCCTGCTTAAAAGTTCGATAGATCTCTAGTGCGGACTTCTTAATCATGCCCATTCTCCACATATCAGTCTCCGTTTTCTTCACTTTTTTCTTAACCGATAGTTCTTTTTGGTTTGGCCACCTGCTGTTTTCCAAGTATTTACCAGTCAACTTCCTGGTTCGCTTCCTCCATTTTGTATCGACATTCTTCATGTACAAGTAGCTGAAAACCTTCCTAACCCAACGCTCTTCCCCCATTTCTCTCAATCGCTTCTCAAATTTTATCTTGCTGCTAGCTTCCCTGCCCTCAAATGATGTCCATCCCATATCACCTTGTACTCCCTGATTTGGTGTATTCCCGTGAGCTCCTAAAGCAAGCCTACCTATTCCACGTTGCTTAATTTCTAATCTTGCTTGAACTTCTGATCTCATGCACAAGACCGCATTGCTGAACGTCAGCCCAGGAACCATGACCCCTTTCCATATTCCTCTCACAACATCATACCTATTGTAATTCCACAGTGCCCTATTTTTCATGACTGCTGCATTCCTGTTACCTTTAGTCGTCACGTATATTTCGTGTTCCCTCAGATACTCGGTCCCATTGCTTATCCATACGCCCAGATATTTGTATTTATCTGTTATCTCTAGCGTGACCTCCTGTATTCTAAGCTCACTACCTTCGTTGTCATTGAAAATCATGACTGCTGATTTTTCCCTACTGAATCTAAAATCTAACCTATCTCCCTCATTACCGCAGATGTCCATCAATCTCTGCAAATCTTCCTTGTTGTTGGCCATTAGCACTATATCATCTGCGTACATTAATGCTGGTAGTGCCTGATCAATAAGTTTTCCTTGTTTGACTAAAGAGAGGTTGAAGCCCAGTCCACTTCCCTCTAATTTTGCCTCTAATCCTTGTAGGTACATCATGAATAATAAGGGTGACAGGGGGCACCCCTGCCTAAGCCCCCGTTTTACCTCTGCAGGCTTGGATACCTGTTTTTCCCACTTTATAACTACCTTGTTACCTTTATAGACACCCTTTAAAAGATTAGTGACTACATGTTCCACGCCTAGTGTGTCCAGTATTCCCCACAATTCCTCTTGAACCACGCTATCGTACGCTCCCTTGATATCCAAAAATGCTAGCCACAGGGGCCTGTGTTCCTTTTCTGCTATTTCGATGCACTGCGTGAGTGAGAACAGATTGTCTTCCAACCTCCTGTGTTTCCGAAACCCATTCTGCAGTTCCCCCAGCACCCCCTCATCCTCTATCCACGCCTGCAGTCTTTCCTTTATAATCTGCATCGCCAGCCTGTAGACCACTGATGTCACTGTTATAGGACGGTAGTTGTTTATGTCAGCTTTGTCCCCCTTACCTTTATAGATCATGCTCATCCTGCTAAGTTTCCATCCATCGGGAACTTCACCATCGATTATTATTGTACTCACTGCCTCTCTCAAAGTCTGCTTAGACTTCGGACCTAATGTTTTTATCAGCCTAATTGGAATGCCATCTGGGCCTGTTGATGTACTACTAGGAACCCTTTTCTCAGCCCTTTCCCACTCTTGTTGTGAAAATGGAGCCATTGCACCACTTGATTCGTCTTTGTCTATTGTGGTGCATAAAGTACTTCTTTGTTGAAATTTTTCTGTCACCCTTGTTCTTATATATTCAATAGCTTCGTCCCCTTCTAGCCTAGCACCTTGGGCTGTAGTTATAAAGTTCTGCTCTAGGCTCGTCTCATTTCTTAGGGAGTTTAGATGGTTCCAAAATTTCGCAGCTGCCTTTCTATCTTTTTTATGTACTTCTGCCAGCCACTGAGCTCCCTTCCTTCTAATCTTTTCATTGATCAGAAGGGATGCATCCCTTCTACAGCTTAGAAAGGTTGCCCATTTTCTTTCCACATCATCTGTCGGTTCACCCCGCTGCTTAGCATGTCTGTGTTCCCTAGAGGCTTCCTGGCGTTTTGCTATGGCTCTCTTAACTTCCTCATCCCACCAACTTTTGGGTTTGTGTCTTCTTTTCCGGGGTGACTTGTCACGCGTCTTAGCAAGCTCTATCTCAAAGAGTCTAACTAGATTCGTGTATGTCCACACTGTCTTATTATCCTCCGTGATTACTTTCTCAATTTGTTTAGTGGCTATTTCAATTTGCCTTTCTGGATAAAAATTTGCGAAAGTAGATGGGAGCGCCGTCTCTAGGCAGAGAAAGTCACTGCATATCAATGAAAATCTGCAGTGATTCTCGAAAGGCACAGCGTCATTTTCAGTCGAGCAGTGGCGCAGTGCTCAACGTTGTCAAGTGAAGGACGAAATTCGTGTCGAGGAGCACTTGTGAATACGGGGGGTTAGTGCTGTTTTCAGCGTTAAAAGGCTGAAATTGACTACCAGCATGTCGACGCTTGCGTTAAAAAAAAAACTTTTTCTGAAATGGAGTTATCGCGAGCGACAGCTTGGCGGCGGCTGTCATTTGGTGGCCAAGCAACAAGTTCCAACATGAAGAAGCGGGATTCGAAAAAAAAAAAACGTGGACGGAAGCTTTCCTTCCGTTATTTATCACTTTTTTTTCGGCTGCCCAATTTTATACCAATAAGACGACGTGAAGAAGGCTAATTGTTATTTTAACCTCCTTAGAAGCCATACTTTGTTTATGACTGGCAATTCGACAACGAGTAACACTCTGACCCTTCTTGCGGTTCAAGCGCACGACAAGTGTTTGACGGCATTTTTTGACGGCAATCAAAAGGCCGAACTATTGACATGCCGAAATTCAAAACGCCGAAAATACAAAAGGCCGAAAATTGGCAATGCCGAAAACGTCAAAATGCCTACATCACCAAGCTATAAGGGAAAATAATGTACCATAACACGATAAAGGTTCCGCCGGCTTTGTACGATGTGCATGCGCTTTCGCCCTCAGTTTCCAATAGCCATGTTTTCTTCGCATGTGGTTCAGCCCTTCAAAAACAGGACTATATTTCCTTGCTCATCGAGTTTCATGTCATAGCGATAAATTGCGTGCAATGAATGCTTCGTAGGAAACTTATAACATCCACATTGCTACGTTCATGCAACACCAAACACGTGCAGTGTAACTCGAGCTTTGAAAGAAATTTATGTAGCGCGAGGCGAAAAAGCGAACACAGGAAAGAACAGACTGAGAAGACAGAGCAGCTACTATCAACAACATGTTTATTTTCGACCTCCAAGCTGCTTTTAAGCAGTAATCGTCAGGTGACCACGCAGATAAGCACGTGTAATTCAGATACACGCACGACCATGCCATCTACCTACACGAAGAAACGATAAATAGGACACCGAAAAACCTCACAGATAAAATCACGTATCACTGCGTACGCAGGAACGCCAGTTCCTTGGGTGACAAGGCAATTGAAGGCTTGCTAATGCATACATCTCCAAGAGCATCAATAAGTTCGGCTTCTATGATCAACCGAGTCATCTCATCCTTATGCCGACCAACAATGATTGTATCCTGGAACAAAGGCCGGCAGCCACACGCGTGAATGTGAAGAGCGAGAAAACCTTCTGGCGGCAGTTTATTCGCCTTGTAATTGTGTTCTCTCAATCGCTCATTCACACACCTACTGGTTTGGCCGACATATTTTTTCCCACATATGAACAGAATAAGATAAATGACGAACGAAATGCACTCCACAAATTTGTGTGTATGCCTTTTTGTGCACAACACCCTTTCCCCACGTGACGGATTCGTCAGCACACACAATTTCCCAAGTTTATCACGCACTGAAAACAGCACCCTAATATTGTTGATAGTAGCGCTCTGTCTTCTCAGTCTGTTCTTTCCTGTGTTCGTTTTTTCGCCTCGCGCTACATAAATTTCTTTCAAATGTTTCACCAACAAGCCTACATCGCCACGCTTGTCGAGCTTTGAAATCTGTTTCTGATTGTTAGATGCAGACACTTTTGCAAACACTTGAAGAGATTGCACACATGACTCATGAGTGCAGTGGTTGCAATCAGCACAGAACATCTGCTGTCATTGGCGGCATCAGCTATCATCATCGTTGTGTAAAGCGGACCGTGGTGCGCGCACGCGCATGCCGAGACAGCGGTAGTATTTATTTTCTTCTCCCCGGCTTTGTGTTGACGTCGTCGTTGCGTTGCGGTGCGAGGCCCCCGTTGCTTGTCTAGGCAGAGTGCACCCACGTTTCACGTATCCCATTTTCGTTGACTTGCGCGAGCTTCTGCGCGACTGTTCTTCGTGTTTTACTTCTTCTAACACTTTGTTATGGCTGGGTCAGCGTCGACACTCTGGATGGGGGACGTGAGTATACCGGAATGCCTCACCATATACGTTGATAAAGTTCAGTAAACTTTTCGGGGTCATGTAGACGTGATTCTTTCCTCCCAGTAATGCCTAGAGCATCGCTCCCATTAATGCCTAGAGCCCCGATTTTCGCGCTGATCAAGCGACTTCTTGCTTTCTAGTCCCCCGTAGCTCGAGAAATATGAGATGAAAGCCAGTGGCGTATATTTACGAGTGTGTTATGTTAACCGTTTCACGTCGGTACGCCCTACCTTAGAAGAAACTCCTAGGGGCAAACTGCGCCTTCGCAACGTGTATCGGGCGCTCTAATGCAGTCTCTCACATTATACGAGCTATCGGACTCCAATCGCGTCATGGGGCGGAACAGTATTCGAAAATCGGCGAAGCCGTGTGTGTGTGTGTGGTGGGAGGTGATCAACGGTTGTAAGCCTGCCTCGTTTCAATCTATTCTTTTCGATCTTTCCAGTTGGAGCCTACCATGGACGAGTACTTTGTGCAGCAGGCATTCAGTATGATGGGCGAGAACCCGGTTCACGTGAAAATCATCCGAGACCGACTCACGGGGTGAGCAGCCGTTGGCGCAAGCTCGTAATTGCGCGCGCAGCGTTGGTCACCATTGTTTTCCTCCTCTGCCTGCACGGCTTACGACTTAGATTAAAGGGAAATTTCGTGCACTGTGAGGCTGGCTCCTAACTTGGAACTTTCAACTCCGTCTTGTTGCGGTTTTGATGTGTTGTTCAGATATCGACGTTTTGCTTGAAACGCATGGGCCCGGTTGCCCACCATGTTGCACTTTTTCTCTGTTTGCATGAATTTAGCTAAAGGTCCACCGCACTTTTCGTAACAAGCCTTAAGGTGCTTCGTGTTGTCACTGTGCGCCCGCTGATGCAATGCTTGCAGTATGTTTTGCTGATGCTCAATTTCTTAAGCCTTTTGCGGGCGTCTTTCTACCGGTACTTTCAGTAACATCTTTCCCCGTTTGTTAGGCGGGATTACCAAGGCATATGTGCTTCAGATACGTTTAGCAGTGATTAATTCACTGGTTATATAGCCACTTTACTGTAACATCTATGGGAAGAAGCATGACTAAATGGGACATTGCTGGTTCTCCCTTTCAGGAATGGGTAAAAAATTCGGGCCTGTAAAGAGTCAGAGGCTCAGCCGAGCGAGTATTTTGGGGAGTGCCAAGCAGGCACTTAGATACCAAGGTTCAGCCCCTATGGGCACTTCAGGTAAGTATGCAGTGCTGGCTGTATGCCCACTTGTGCTAAGAAACTGAAGTGCAAGCTGTGTTTGATACAACGTTAATTAAAACCAAAGTATAATGAAGCCAAGGAAGGTATTTTGCTCTTATAAGTGTTTTGTAATAGTTACAGTTAAAATGTGAAGAAAGTAAAGTGGTCATAAAGCCAAGTTGCTGCCAGCAGGTTCATTCCCTTCTTTCATTCAAGCTGTGTTTGAGTGATGTCCATCAGTACTATCCTCTGTTAGAACATACATATGTGACGAGTTTTTCAGGGTTTTGCTGCATTTGAAATATATACCCATGGGGGAAATTGTGTGATTTGCTTATGCACTATGTTCAGTGTTTGTTGCATATGTTATACATTCTCATTATTTTAAGAGGAGTCGGGCTGTGCAACAAAACTTTTTTAGAGTGTGTATATTCAGTGCCATAATTAACGTACCGTTTCAGGGTAGTTTGTGAACAGCAGTAAAGTTCTTGTAAAGGTAATTGACCATTTGTCAAAATTTTACAAGGTGGCTTTTCTGCAAGGTTGCTTTCAAACGAAAAACTCCTGTGCACAGATTGCTTTTTTCGCTCACTGTGCCTTTACCACTCCTATTCCAGTGGCTCCTATTCCAGTGAAGGCATGCGAGTACAACAAAACGACTTTTTCCCCCCAACAATTGCAAAGCCCATCGCATGGTGGGTGAGGCACGTGTCATTCGTAAAGAAGGGGCTGGTGGGGGGTTCGGGAGAAGGCAAAAACACGAGTAAAAAAAAAACAACTTCTCAGGAAAGTTGCATTGCAGATTTTTGCAAATGGTCAATTGGGTTCTTTTGTTTAATGAAGTTGCACTCCAGTAATGGTAACTAAAGTCTTCTTACCAGGAGCAGGATCAGCAATTTCGAAAAGATAAATGAAGTGTGGTCAGTGGCAATGCCACCCTGAAGTTCTTACCGCAAGCCATCGTGATCGTGCTTTGGCAACACCTGCACAAATCTAGTTCGTTTTTCAGTGACACATATGGATTGCATTGCTTACTGAAAGCATTTACGACTGAAACTAATGTTTCAAAGCTTACTATGCATAACCACCAAATTATGAGGACATACATTGAAGCATGCGACATCACGGCATGATACTAGCTCTGAGGTTTGTCATTTTCGCGGTGTAAATTTATCGTCCATTTTTTTAGGTATCAGCCACGAAGTGAACAAAACTGTGTTGTAAATGAACAATTCTTTTAAACCGAGTTCATTTAGTGTTGACGTACGTCACAGACAGGTTCGCGACGCTGGGTACCCAGACATGGCTGTCGCCATGACCTTTTATCTCGCTTGTGTGTATTATTGCAGGGGAGGACACACAGTCCCTGCATCCCAGCAGCGTTCTTTTGGGGTGTCGTGCTAGTTCTTTTATCCGTACTGCTTCTTCTTCCTTTTGATTTCAGCTGCGATCCCTGCGTTTGATCGATCGTTGGCACGGACACCCTCCTCTGGCACCGTTGTACTTTTCGTTACCCCTGATTGGGAATTCGCTTTAGTGGCTCAAAAAAAAAAAATCACACCTCTGTCATTGTTTGCAAGCAGGTTGCCGAGAGGCTACGGATTCCTGGACTTTGGTGACGAAGAAGCCGCGGAGCGAGCGTTGCTGCGCTGCAATGGGAAACCAATTCCTAATGCAATGCAGGTATGTATTGCGAGAGACAACTAGACAGTTCGGGTCGTGGTACGGTCACCCAATATTTAGCAGTATTTGGCGAAAAATAGAAGTCTCTACTGTGCCTAAAGATATAAGAAAAATGGCCCGTAAAGAACTTTCAATTATGCTACACGTGTGGCATGCTGCATAGAGCACGGCCGTCGTCTTCTGGCAAAGCTTCAGCTGCTTCAAATAGTTAGTTTCTGTGTAAAGCTGGTGAAGGTTGAAATACCATTATTGCATACGCTGCCAAAAACAAAATAAAAAATCGTTTGACAGAATGCTGACACGCTCATTGCAAACAGCTGGTTATGCTCCGGATCTTGAGTGTAATATTGTTGCCCGACTCGAAGGCCGCCTATGGATTTATAAAAGTGTAGACTTATAGATAAAGTGCTCAATCAAACGGGCGAAATTTCTGCCAGATTGTGTGTGAGTGCACAAGAATCAATCCACATATAGCAGATTTTGATTGAGAATTGGGTGCCATGGTGTCTTGGTACACTCTGAGAAAAAATGGAGTATTCGGGGAGTAGTTCTGCCACACAACAACAGTCGTCATCTGACTTGCTCACATTTACTTTCTTGCAAACCCGGCGCTGGCCACTTTTCTATCGAGATTGCTATGCCGCGCCGATCACGCGCGCCTTTTGTGACTGGGAACTGCAAGAACCGTGGTGATATCGCAAGTAAAGTACTCGAAACTGATGACAATTATGAGATGACAATTTCACGGGATGACTCGTGAAAATATTAAAGAGTACTTTGTGGTATTCGCGGTCTTGTGCAGCAAACTTGGCGCAATATTTAAAAATGAATTTTCGACCTTAGATTTCCTTCACTTATAGAGAACTTGTGGTAGTGAAACTTATGACATTAGCTTTCATAGTACAGTTTATCAATCTAAATTAAGTCATGATTTCACTTAAGTCGCCCTTCAAACAGCAGCTAATTTTCCTTTGCCACTGGCATTTTAAAGGGTTTGTTAATAGTGGTGGCACTTGGACGACTCTCCATTGTAATTGGGGGGGTAAATGCATACCAGTGTATTTGAGCTGTTTCTTTTTTGTAGCCGAAGACATTCCGGCTAAACCATGCAAACAACAGCACAGGAGGAGGTGGTGGCGGAGGCTATCAACAACAACAAGGCTACGCCAACGGCGGTGGCCGCCCCCAATATGGATCATCGTGAGTGTTTCACTTCAAGCTGATGGGTTAAAGGGGTACTGACAGAAAAATTTCGTTCCAGAGAAAGTCCGCGGGATCAATTCCCGTGAACATGTGTACATCATCTGCAAAATATCAACAGCCAATATAGCTTGGAAGGCATTTAAAATTAGTTTTAAAGTTTGCATAAATGATCGACTCCACTCGAGCTATTGACACTCTCAAACGAGACCGTTGGGGCTACTTCCCTCACGTGACCACGCTGCAACAAGCTATGACGACGTCATAGCCGCCGTTTTCCTTTGGTTGCGTTTGCTCCAGCGGTTTGTTTACTCGGCAGCTGCTAGAGAGTCCATTGCCGCGGCGCACGAGTTAAAGGTTTTGTGTTTGAAGGCATTGTCTGTTCGAAAAAACTTCTTGATGCGAACCACACTGAGGTGCATCACAGTTCTGTGTGCTGGCATAGTCAAGCGCTGCATCTGCTAGGTATTTATGGTTTTTAAAACCAAAATCGACACAAGTCGGTAATAACGAACCTGTAACTAATTATCTGTCTCACGCTGCCAAAAATGATGTGTCATGTTATGACTAACAGGCCCCCAGGAACACATTGCAGCAAAAAAAGCATGAAGCCAAAAATTTGTGCCAGTATCCCTGTAACATTCTGTGACACTAGGTTTTATGAGTTGCTTGGTAATCAAATTCAAAGAAATGCCTTTTTTTTTTTTTCTTGTCAGATAATTGTCAATATCTGCAAATATAAACGAACTTTGAAATTTCTTTACTGAGGAATTGAAGCTAGGCCTCCCGAGTACAGTGGAACTCCGTTCATGCGTTATGCAGCGGACCGAGTAGGAAAAACGTAACAGCCAAGAAAACACAAGAGTGTGGCTCATGCTCGTCGTTGTCATCGGTGTCCCCGTCAGCAGTTGCATTCGAGTTTGCAATGATCTCTGCGATTGTCTGGCAGTCCAACCGTTTTGTAAGCGATGCCGTGCCTCTTGTGGAAACGGTTGATCCAGCCATTTCACACCGCAAAACCAGCGATCCCCAGTTTGTTGGCTGTTTCCATCGCCTTCTCCCCTGAAATGCTGCCGTCGGAGTTGATACCAGCAGCGCGAGCTTGCTTGAACCATGTGAGAAGAGGCTCGCCGAGGTTCCTGCGCTTAGCGGCACGAGCTCGCTTAGCTTTCGGGCCGAAGAGAGCGGCAATCCCTTCATTCTCGGCACGCTTCGAGACGATGCTGTTGAGCGTTGACGGTGGCAGTCCAAGGTCTTTGGCAATGTCGACCCTTTTTCGGGCTGGCTGCTTGTCAATTGCTTTAAATATATCCAGCTTACTCAAAGGGAAGTGCTTTCAGCTTACGCCACGCCATTAAAGCTTGACAAAGATTGCATTGACAAATTCATTGGTAACAGGCTTAGTGCACACAACAGCGACTGAAGACGAGTCGCAACGTGCGGCAGTGGGACTGTCGACTACTTCCGGCATTCCGCAGTGAAACTTCCGTTGTAAGCGCAGTGACGATGGTGATAGCACTTTTCACAAATGGCCATCCAAGGGCGGCCTCTCCAACTTGCCTGCGGCTTCTTGCAGCTTGTTTCGTAGCAGTGACAGGCCAAGACTGTCAAATCAAAATGGCGATGCCCGGGCGGGTTCGGCAGACTAGGTTGCGACGCATCGTGCGGGAACGTTCTCGCAGTCGCGATGTAACAGCGGGGTTTTCAATACGTACATGGGATTCTATGAGAGCTGTGTCGGGACCGATAAAGGACAACGTAGCAGCAGAAAGAACACAGAAGTGATGAACGTAACAGTGGGCTTTCGCTGTAGTGAGTACGTACCCTTCCTCAGCATAATTTATTCAGTTTTCGAAAAAGCGCTGTTACTGCGAATTTCGCTGTTGAGGAAAGATGTAACTGAATGAAGACAAAGAACAAGCTTACCTAAGCAAGCGCTTATTTGCTTTTCAGACAGGTTTGAAGACAACATGAGCTTCTAGGTGGTACAGATCTATTTGTTTTTCATAGACTAATTTCCAGTCTCCAAGGACGTATGAAAGAGTGAAGTGAAAAGCTTAGACATCTTGTTTCACTGCGAACCTTCTATTTCAAAATGAGCTCTCTCCCTTCCGTTAACACAAGTGCATACGTTTAAGTCTTGCTCAAAAGAAAATTTGGCTTTCGTAGGATCTTGGCCCTTTTCGAGTGCGAGTGATTTGATTTTGAACAAGCCTTGGACAGTGTTCGAGCTCGCGTGCGTGCTGTGAATACAATCTCTGTTACGAGATAAAGTAGTTCTTTGTAGTAGGTAACTTCACCTTTCTCGGGAAAAAAAAAAAATAACATGGGTGTTGATGAGTTTGGAAAGTATAGTAAGTGTGGCAGTTCAGCCTTACTTATATGTACTGTATGTCAGCCTTACTTAATGCCTTACTTATATGTATATACAAATTATCAAATGCATACACTCAGCTACACTGAACTTGCTTGCCAAATAGGTAAATAAAAAGTCTGTAATAAACAGGATAGCCTTATTACAAATAGCAGTTGACGTAATTAAACACTCAGCCCAGTCATTGTTGTAGACAGTCAGGCACATGAAATAGTGGAAAATATGGTATATACTTGGAAGTGATCTGACAGGAAAGACCCCCGTTACTTGATGTGGTTATGTCTTAAGCCATAATACCTAAGCATGATTTAAGGGGGCAGACTGCTCTTAGACATTTTTTGTTTATTTCTTCAGTGATCTTGATCAAACTGCGCAGAATTATGCAGTTTTTTCTGCTGATTTCAAATGTTTAATTAGTTTTTCTGTAAGTCATCTTATTTTTGAGTTCACCCCCTATTGTTTAAGGCCGCCATAGAAAAAGTGCTTAATTAAAAGTGATATTTAAAATATCCTTACATAGACTAATGACTATGGATTAAAATAATGCAAGAGTTTTTTGTTTTGAAGCCTTTTTTATTATTTTACAGCAAAATGAACTATCCATTTTCAAAAGCAGTTGGAATTGTGTTAAAATTTTGATGAGTAATTAATTAAAAAGGCTTGTTCTTTAAATTCTGCTCCCATACTTGTACCCTACACACATACAGGTTTCCATTGCAAAAAGAATTGTTGTTGTACCTGCCCTAGCTGCAGAGATATTGAGGCCTCAAAATTGAACAGTTGTAAATTTACTTTTTTGAGAAAAATGGAAAAAACTGAAAAAAACACAGCTTCTTCAAAAAGCAACAATCATGGTGTGCATGTTTTGCAATCCTCATAAGCGTGCTCATAAATTTGTAGCAGAGCTTCTAACACAGGTGCCGGCAAGTTATAAAGAGGCCTCGAAGTTGGTTCCGCATTTTTTTGCAGGTTCTGCATGTTAATAGCACCAAGAATCTGGACAGTTAGAATAACATTACAGAAAAATTACCACTTCCTGGTGTGTAAAAATTTGCAGAGAGATAGCAAAATACATGCAGATACCAAATACGTCAATTTTAAAAAATGATTTTTTTTTTTTGTCACTTTTTGGTCCCAAAGAGCAGTCTGCCCCCTTAGCTGGCTCAGCAGTGCATCATGTAAATTATGACGAGGTTTCAGCACCACTTGCATGTGAAGCGGCATACATGTTCACCACTTTGGGCATGTACTCCTTGTGCACCTTGTAGGTCAAATGAGCTGTCCATGTTCGTGGGCGACCTCTCAGCCGACGTGGACGACACCCTGCTTTACCAGGCATTCTCACAGCGTTACCCATCGGTCAGAGCTGCCAAAGGTGAGAACAGATGCGATCTGCTTCCGCATTTTGATGCTAATTTGCAAAGCCGCTTCAATGTAGTGAGTTCAGACGTAAAGGTGCCCTTGAACAAAAAAGGCCCAGCATGGTCCGAAAAGGCTGCTGATCAGTAATTGAGGCCCCTGAGAACACACGAGCCAAGCATTACAGTGCAACACGAGCCTGTAATAACGGTATTTACTCGCATAATAGGCGCACCTCTTTTCCCCAAAAAGATCCAGCCCCGAGTTCGCGGTGCACCTTTCGGCAAAATAAAATATCCGAAAATGTTATTTATGACTACAGCATAGACCGCTGATAACACATGTCGCCTAAGGCACTACAGCATTCTTCAGCCGCGGGTGTTCGAGAATCGAGGCATGCGACGCGCAGTGTGCCCTCAAATTTCCAAACATCAACATGAAAAAAACCTATGTTGCCAAACGGGGAAAAGAGAAAAAGCTGCGAAAATAAAGCGCTATCGCGAAAATTCGTCGATTACATTTCAGGCCACCTAGATTACGCCCATTGTCGAGGCTGAAATTCTTCTTTCTCATCGCTTCAGTTAACGCGAAAGGGCGTCGAACTGCAAACGCGCAAACACAATGCAGAACGTCTGATCACGGCCAAGTGCGTGGTGTGCCTATTATGGACGGAAATATAAAAATCCGATTTCTCACGACCAAACTGGGGGTGCGCTTATTTGGCCAATGAATACAGTAATTGTTTTTCTTTTTTTTGTCTGCTAGGAATATTTTCCTTTTTCTGTCAATAATGCCACATACAAACCCAAACGACTGTGCCATGTACCCAAGTTCACAGCAATTAGCTGATTTGAGCACCGTGGGCTATATAGCTACAGCGGGTGCTGCAGGGCGCTGCCACATGCCCATGCTCACTATTACATTGAAAGTAAGCAGCACATTAGAGGACAAAAAAGAAGGTGCTCAAGGTCATGATATGACTCTGACGTAGCTTTTTTTCCTGTGTGCCATCCCTCCCTGCTTAGCTTCCGGCGTGCTCATTGAGGAGAGAGAAGATAGATATGTGAGGTATAACGTCACAAAACCACCATATGAATGAGAGACGCCTTAGCAGAGGGCTCCGGATATTTCGGCCGCCTGGGGTTCTTTAACGTGCACCCAAATCTGAGCACACGGGCCTACATCATTTCCGCCTCCATCGGAAATGCAACCGCCGCAGCCGGGATTTGATCCCGTGACCTGCCGGTCAGCAGCCAAGTACCTTAGCCACTAGACCATCGCGGCAGGAGCGAGGCGAGAGAAGAGAGAAAGCAATCCGCTTTTCCCATTTTGCTGTGCTGCCCTATGGCGTTTTGGTAGAATTTGGTAGGAGCCGAGAACTGGCATTGATAGAACGAAGGCCTCCGAGACCAGGAGCCGTTTTGAGACTTTTTCGCTAGGAAAAGGGGCATGCACTCGGCATCGTGAAAAGGGCGGATTACATTGTCAAGACAATCTCTGCAAGTTCACTCGTACTTGACGGATAGTGAAAATTTTCACAGCAGTCGATCAGTTAGGCAATAAACTGCTTTAGTGAAGCCACTCTATGGTGACTTCTGAAAAGTGTTGCAGGGCGCCTTAAACAGGCTTGGGCCTGTCAGTGGTATTGCATTTTAGCTTTTCTTGATATATTGTAACAACATCGTCGTACTGCACAACTTTCAACGGTGTTTATTACTGGCCATTGCCAGTTTTCTTGCTATAGACGAGTCTGTGGCAAACACAGATGCAGACCTGAAGTAAAGCTGATGTAACCTTCTTGAAGGCTGCACTTATTAACAGGCTCTTCTTCCCAATGTTTCATGTGTAACATTGCCGCATTTACTCGCATAATCCTTGCACTTTTTTTTTTTTTTTTTGGCGGAAAAACAATGCAAAGTTGGGGGGTGCAAGAATTACGCGAGGAAAACTTTCCACCAAAACGTACAGAGCGAAAAAGAAAACGAAGTGGCCGCTAAATCAGGATTCTCTCGCGAGCAACTAACAGCAAGCTTTGAGAAGTACCAGTCAAAACTTACGTCAACAATAAAAGCACAGGTTCAACACAAGGCAAGATTTATTTGAGACACAAAAAGTGCAAGCAAATAGTCGAGAATTGGAATACCATACGCAAAGCTTGTGGGCGTTGCGGGCGTAGCGGTAGCATTAGTCGCTCAGCAGGAGCCCTCAAAGGGTAAGACGTCGGTATTGGGCAGATGGCTATTTAACAGAATCGTCTGCAGCTTCCTTCTGAGGAAATAGTTTACGATCAATCCCAGTTTTAGGCACATGGCAAGCCCAACGCGTCTTAGTGGCTTTCAGCTGCCGTCACCAGTAGCGAACACAAAACTCGTAGACTCCGAAGAGCCTGCCGGCGGCCCTGTTGCCGTTGTTTAGTGCATGATCTATCGCTTTCAACTTGAAAGCAGCCGTGTAGCTTCAGTATCGCCCCATATTGTACCGACACAACATACAAAACACGCCGCAACGCGCACTTGCGACTTTGGCTTAGCTTGGATTGAATCTCCGTGCAACAATAGTTCGCTTGACGCTTAAGAGATAACGCCAGATGGCGCATGATATCATCAATGGCTGGAACGAGCTGACGGAATTCAGGCTGTGCTGATTTGCCGTAGTGTCGGAACAATAAAATGCTGTTGTGACATTTCCCACTGCACAGAAAGCATTATGGGCTAAATCAAAGGTAGTGGTTTAGGTTAACGTATGTGTACCATTTATTGGTGTACCCGGACTCTAGGTTCTGTTATGGAGAAGTCTAGCGGCCTGTGTATCGGATTTAGGTGCACATTAAAAGAACACCAGATGGTTGCAACTTCTAGAACCCTTCAATGTGGTGTGCCCCTCATAATCATGTTTGCTTTTTGGGATCTTACAGAGCAGATGCCTTCGTTCTATTGGTTTGGCACTGATGTCTGCTGGTGGTGCGTTTCTGTTGCAGTCGTGATGGATCCAACTGGCCTGAGCAAGGGCTTTGGCTTTGTGCGCTTCTCGGATGGGACCGAATACCAGGAGGCTCTGGTAGACATGCAGCACTCCCTTCTGGTGGGCTCCAAGCCCATCCGTGTTGGTGTCGCCAACCCTCGCAGGTCAGTTGCCGTGACTGACATCGTTAGATAAAAACAAGATTGCTTGTAGCCCAGCAACTCTCACACTTCCTATACTTTAGACGTCGAAATGCTAGATTTCGATAATGGCAATTGTTATTTGTAACTCGAGTGGGCTGTGATCAGGGCCTGTGAACATTTCAGTTGTACTGGCACAAGTAGTGCACTTGCAAGGGTCTTTGGACGCAAAAAATCGTAAAAAAAAAAAAAAGGTTTTTGAAATGTGGCATTTGTGAAATCTACATCTATTATTCTTCTTATCAGCCAAGTTTTCCATATTGAAAGACCATATTTCAGCCATAATTTGAATTTAAAACATGCCCGGCGGCCAGTTTTTCATCTGTGCCGACGCTAAAATGATGCATGTTCAACGACCACTCTCCGAAAATGATGCATGTTCAACGACCACTCAATGTGACCAAGATGGCCACTCTCGAGGCAGTTTTAACGCTCGCGTTAAAACTGCCTCGAGAGTGGCCATCTTGGTCACATTGGAAAGAGCAAGTTTTCGGCTTTAAATACCGTGCGCTTTCCGCTCCGTTAGGCCTGTTGGTTGAATACAAAAAGAGCGCCAAAAATGCGAGAAGCGCACATTCTCATTCGCTGTAACAAGCACGTCGCAAAATAGCGTCATGTGATTGGCTGTCCTCATTGTCAGTTGTCTGCTAGATGCTCTAGAGGCGCACTGCGAGGCACCATTTTGGATACGGTTCTTCGGTGACAACGCGCGACCATGGGTCCTCCGCTCCAAAAGTTTGCGTCCAAACACAAGTATGGAAAGAGGAGGAAGAAGTCCATTCTCGCTAACCTCCACAAACGCCCTGCCGCTTTGCAAAATGTAGAGGATGACCCGTTGACGGCGCCAAGCGATGGCACCGATGCAGCAGACAACGAGCGAGGGTTAGGCCTAGCTAATTGAGAGCCGACGAGTGCGTGCGACCAAACCGCCAGCCGCATTCGTCGGGATGCAGTTATGCGGATGCCTTCAGATCTGGAGCTGATAAAGTAGAAAGCCGATGAGCAACTGCAAGAGCTCGCGTCAACCGCAGCAGTGAACCGTAAGTCAAACATTCTGTCCGCTAGCGATGTCGCGACCGACTCAGTCGACGATACAGTTTTCACCATGTTGTGCCTAAATTCAGTGAACGCGCTTCTTCTGGAGCACATCAAGTGCAAGACTTGCGGTGGCAGCGCGAATATAAGCCAGAAGATGGGAGAGTATGGCCTTGCAGTCAGTCACATGCTCGAATTGCGGCGACAAAGGGTCTGCACGGAGCTTGCCGTAAGTGGATGGGACTCCGAAGCTAAATCCGTTTGCGATAAATATTCTGTCTTCGCGAGCGATGCAGAGCCCTGGCAAACGGCATTTAATGATATTTTTGCAGCCATGAATACCTCGCACTGCACGCTGCATACGAAAACGTGGCAGGTGTATCGAAAAACGAAGTTGATGCCTGCCGCAACTCAAGCAGCTGAGATGCTCGCTACTGAGTGCGCGAATGCGGTTGGGCAGCTGTACAGCACACTGAATTTCAGCTACCCGGGAAACATCGTCGTTTCCTACGACGGGTCTTGGATGACTCGCCGGCACAGTTCCCACGCTGGTGTCGGCACCGTAATCGAACTTTTCACTGGATTTGTGCTAGATTACGTCGTACTTTGCAACTTTTGTGCCGGATGCGAGCGCGGACCAAAAGTGGATGACGCGTCATATGAGCAGTGGAAGACCAACAACGTGTGTCACAAGAATGCTGATAAGAAGGCAGGTGAAATGGAGGTGGAGGCAGGCATCGTTTTATTCAAGAGGTCTCTCGAAAAGCACGGCTTCAGGTACACCACAGTGCTGTCAGACGGCGATAGCTGTACATTCCTGCCCCTGAAGGAGGCCAAAGTGTATGGGTTTGTTGAGGTCCAGAAAGAGGACTGCATAAATCACATGCACAAAAGAATGGGAGCAGCACTTCGTAATGTGCTGCCAAAGCATAAAAAGCCTGGCTTGGAGCTTCTTGGTGGACGAGGGAGGCTGACAGGAGACTTGGTTACAAAACTCGGCTCTTACTATGGCTGGGCTTTGAAATCGCACATTGGTGACATAGACGTGGTGGAGAAGGCAGTGATGGCAAGTTACTATCATATAACATCAAATGATGAAGATAGTAACCACAGTATTTGCCCAGAAGGTCCAGATTCTTAGTGCCGGCAAAATTCCACAAAGGCCAAGGGCCGGCCTGTCTCAAAGCACCGCTACAATTCGCCTCCTCCTGTGAGCAAGGCATCGCTGCCAATCTACCGACTCTCCGGCAGGCTGCTGCTTGAACGGTGCCCAAGAGGCAAAACCCAAAACAACGAGAGCTTGCACTCCTTGATATGGGCTCTCGCACCAAAGGAGCGACACGCATCCCTTTTAGTGTTGAATCGGCTGTCGCAGAAGCAGTGATGAAGTTCTGTGCTGGCTGCAAAAGGACCTCGGCAAGCATCTTGCAGGAGCAGCAGACATGAATCCTGGCCAAAAGTGCATGCAGCAGATGGAGGAGAAAGATCGCCGCCGTTCAGCTGCTTCTGAACACAAACGTGCGTCGGCAGAAAATGTGCATTGCGTGCGCAAAAAGCACCACAAAGGTGCCAGTTCCCAAACTGACTGTCACAGGGGCCTACTAATGTTCTATTACTGTTTTTGTGCAATATTTGTGATTCCGTGCAATTATATGGCAATTTTTTTTTGTTTTCTTGATTTTCTCTAAATGAAAATTTTGTATACCTTGCATGACTATTCCTGAAATATATCAAAAACTGTTTCAGATAGCTGAATAGTTTTTTTGCAGCATGAAGCTATATGATTGGTGCACACAACATAGGAAGCAGATATTATTTTTTTTAAATAAGTGCTTTAAAATCAGTCGTTTGTGTGAACACCCAATGGCCACATTCAGAGCCATGAAGTTAAGTGTACTGTAATGTAATAAATAATGACCCAATCAGAAAAGTGCTTTCTATGTTGTCTGTCTTATGCTTTCTACTGTCAACCCCTTATGTTATTTATAAATTTTTGACAGGTGGTTATTTTTCTATTGTGGTAAGAACAATAGAAATTATTATCTTGATTATTTAAGGGGAGATGCTCCTCGAAAAAGTTTTTTTTTTATTTCTAGTAATAGAGACTTGAAAAGTTTGTTATTAGTATAGTTTTTCATGCAGATTTCAAATATGCAATCATTTTTTGTGTAGCTGCTATAATTATTGAGTTATGCCATAAACAATAGCAAAAAGTTACATTTTTTGCGGGCACTCTTTTATGTACTAAACTTTCAGTAAAAGCACTGTGTCTGATCTTATTTGACTCTTGGTAGATTGAAAAGTGCAAATATCTATATAGATATGTCACAGAAATATTGGAACCAAGAAAAAAAAATTGTATTGAATGACTTATTATTTTCAATCTCCCTTGAAACAATAAGCTAATATTTTCACAACTAATGCTGGTAGGCATTGCAATTTAGAGTAGATATTTGCATTCTGCATGTGTTGAAGAATATGTGTGCCAAGTTTCGTTACTATACAATGAATATAAGTTTCTAAAAGGCTGCCTGGAAAACGTGACTGTCAGAAAAAATGAAAATGCGAAAAACAAGTTTGAAAGTTCGCAAAGTTGGCATTTATTAGGAAATCATTCTTTTTGCATCAAATTGGGGCACAATGAAAAGTACCTTGCCTTGAATGCACTGCAAGTGTCTAGAAGTCCCCTGCACCATAGCTTGGTCCTTCACGGCTCTTGCGGTCTGTGTCCTCAACACGAGCTCTCTTCGCTGTGTTGCGACGGTGTGCCCTCGCTTCTGCAGTTTGCTTCAGGTTCATCTTCCTGATGCGCATGACGTCACAGTGGTCACCATGTGTGGCCAGATCTTGTGAGGGGAGAATTCCAATGCCTTCGAGCACTTCTTCAAAGCCCCTGTGGCCTTTGTTGTACCAGAGTACAGCAAGAGCGGTGGCTGTCTCCACAGTTGTTCTGGAGGCGAACTTTGTTTTTGGACATAGCAGCCATATCTTGCTGTTCAGCGATTCGGCTGCATTCTGTGTCTTGCCATGAAGGCACCGAATAAGGAGTTTCTCCTCTGTAAGGCGCTTGTAGATAGGCATAATTGCCAATCCTTGAGCCTTCGTCAACAGTGGGGTGTGGCGTGGTGCAGGCTCCCCCAGTGCTTTCGCATGCTTGTGCTTGCACCACGAATTTGGTCCCGCGGGGCAAAAGTTGTGGCTACTGGCACCATCACTGGAGCAGCAATGAAAATACGATGCCCATATGGCAGTGTACATATTTCGGACACTGTCCTTGTTGCTCATGATGGCGATATTGTAATATGTTTGTAGTTTTATTATTGTCGCATCTTTCAGTTTTTCGCCTCGTGGCAGTGGCGTTGCCAATTTCCGTAGGGCAGTTCCCAAGCGCTTTGCAACGTGGTTCGTGCACTCTTCTTTGTCAATGGGGGCGTCACAGTATACATTTGCCTCGCAGACTGCAGTGTAGGCCTTGCTGTCACCATCACTTAGGAAGCTGGTGAATCGCAGTAGAGTTTCATAAGACAAGGTCCTCTGCCATATATTGACAGCTGCCGCAGGTTCCATTGCATGGGATGAGCAGTCAGTGTTTTTTTGGCAAACTGGAAGATGAAAAGCTCGCCATATCTCTTCATCCTCCCCAAGGTCCCTGTGTATACTGCAAGCATGGCAGTAGTTCGAAAGAACTTCAAAATCGAGGCAGAGCCCCGTGTCCAGGGACACGACTGTGCCCACTCCATTGTGGCTTTTATGACCTCTTTTCTGCCAGGTGCCATCAAACATGACTGGCACATCTCTGCCGCCGACTGCGTCCTTCGTGATGTTTCGTGCCTGGTGCAAGTTTTTGCTCACTGCCGTCATCGCCGCACCATGGAGCTTCTTGCAAATGCCGTTGAATGTCTTGTGATGAATCGGGCTCGGAAGACAGAGAATCGCACAAAATCGTGAAAGTTGGTCGGGGCCTGCGCCTATAGCGCGTGCTGCCAGAACTGCCTTCACGTTTACAGCAAAGCTGTCACGCGAGCTGCCGCTGTCAAAACGACCGCTCGTTCCTTGGTCCCCGGTCGAAGCAGTACGTCTCGACGTGTGCGTGAACGAAAGTGCAGATTCAGGGCAATCAGAATTTTGACAGCACAGTTCGAGGAATGCCGAAAGTCCTTTGCGCTTTCCAGCTGCCTCTCGCACGCCGAGCTTCTGTTCGCGGCAGGTTGGGCATTGCGCACCCGCCACAAGTGCCGTCAGCGCATCGATTTCGCAAAGCAGCATGTTCGCAGTAGCAGCATCTACCGGTCTACGTTCACTCTCGAAGAATCCAATCTTCCTTTGGGATGCACTGACGAATTCCACGGCAGCGGCTATTTCACAACCACTGTCGCAGGGTTCGGTGACGGTGTTAGGCCTATCCGAAGTCGGAGCGTCGGGGCGTTGGTCGGGGGCGACATCGTCGTTCGTTGTCGCTTTGCGAAGCGTCCGACGCCGTTTCCCTCGATACTTGTGGCGAGTTCTGAACTTTCGATTATCTGAACTGCACTTCTTCGGGCTTGCCATGACGCAAAAATGCAGAGAAACGCAGAAAAACTCGATCGCGACGTCCGAGGCTTCGCTCTTTTGCCGGAGAGATAGGAGGGGGAGGAGCGTGGAGCGCACCGCCGTCCAATGGCGGCCTCGCGCTGTGTGCCGCGATATTCAAAACGCGTGACGTACGCGTTGTTTTTCTCGTTTTTTGTTTATTCTGCGTGAAGGCACGAGACTGGCTACTAGTGGATTATGAAGGATACGGCCTTCGCAGCATGCGTGCACGATTGCAAATGGCGGCCAACGCGTCGTTTTCGCGACAGGACGACGCGAACTTCGCCGTTTTTCGCGACTTTTGCGCATTTCTCGCGTCACCGCTGCCCCCTTGGAAGCATTTTTTGATAATTTCTCGTGCGAATTTCAGCTTGATATTTTCAGAAGTAATAGGTTATAGTCCAAGGATGCCAATACAGCCGGAAAAAAAAAAGCGAAAATTTTCCGGAAAACCGCGACTTTTCGACCCGCGTCTCCCCTTAACCAGACTTTTGTTGTAGCACTGTCATGCTAGTAATCCATCTATGAAAGCTTTCTGCCGAGCTCTTATACAAGATTTTTATATTTTTACTGGTGAACATGAGCATACACGTGGTAAATGCAGTGCAGCGCAAAGAGCCGTCAGCCACTAAGCTTTCCTGACTAGACTTATCGACTATCCCACATTTCATGGTGAACAGAGTGAACGGTGGTACTGAACTAATCACACAGATATGCGAGCTTTCTACGATCTTTCTTTCTCTCTTTTTTGTAGTATGCAGATGACGAAGATGTAAACAAGTAGTTCAGTCATGCTACAGCAATGCGTAGCAGGTGGAACACAAGCTAACCACGTACAAACAATACAGCAAAGGCGTGATTATGTGCGAAAGCGTGAAGAGTCACCCAGTGCGAGCAACCCTATGAAAGGCAGAATGCGCTTTACTCGGGGGTAATGTTAACCTTGCATAGTCATTGTGCATCGATTGAGTAGAGAATAGCGCAGATATTAACAGTAAACTGTAGTCGACGCATTCTATCCACCGACAATCGGCATTCTATCCACCGACAACGAAGCAGCACTGCATGTATTTGTGTATGCGCCGCCAACCGCTGATCACCGCTTTCGCGGGAACGGTGCTGCCGCCTATAGCTTGGTCTCGCCACGAATAGCAACCATTTATCGCGGCACTTTCGAGTTTTGTTATAAACAGTTTGGACTGTACTGAACTGGGACTTGTGCTTTGCAAGTAAAGGACTGCCATAGGACACAGATATTGTTGCCTTATTGCTCAAGATTCTCGTTCTTAAATTTCCACATGTGGTGGGAATCTTTGAGTGCTATCACCCACTGGCATAAATGACAAGGCGGGTGTTCGGACTTCACATGTGTTCAGGCTGGGTGGGACACCCCTTATAGGTGCCGTCCTTTGGGATAGGTCTTTCTGACATGATACACACAAACCTAGATGTAACGAAGTATTGGTTATAAAGAACTAAACAAAGTACAACCTTGTTTCAAGCAGTTACTGTTCTCATATATCCACCACTATTCAAATCTAAACGCCGTAAGGCAACGACACCAGTAGCCAACAGCAGAAGCGGCTCATCCGCGTTTTCGAGGTTCAGTGCGCGCTGGTGCTCGCCTTTATGGACAAACATCGCCAGTTCGCGGCAAACTGCGGCACGGCATCACTGTCGCCGACTGGTGGCGGCTGTGGCAAGAGCTCGGCGACGGGCTGAACCATGAAGGGCCTGCGCAAAAAAATGTGGAGGAGTGGCAGGCCTGGTGGCGCAGGCAGGTGCACGAGGCCCGTCGTGAAGACACCGCTGCAGCTGCCGCGCAGGCGAGACGAAAAACTGTGGTGGTGGGAAATGCCATGTTGCCTAAGTGCCCAGATGCTAAAAAGTCGCGAAGTCCTTACATTTCAATCCATTCCATGCCACCTTGCAGCCATTTCAATCCATCCGGTTCCTTTCGGACAGTCTCTCCGACCGTTCCTTCGTCCGAAAAACTGGAAAAAAAACAGTCACGTGGCACCTTGGCCCACGTCACATAGAATGTCACAGCATTCGTCACAGCTCAAATGGGCCAATCGCGCGAGACTAGATGGAACAGACCGCCTCCGTCCGGATTTGGAATTTGTACATAGTTTCACCACAGCACTGCCGTTCCACCGGTCTTGCGAGAAAGCTCATTTTTGTATTTTACTTCAAGGCACGATTTTCATTGCTCTATACTGTATAACGTCGTTGATGTGTTTCTGGAAAAAGAAAAACTTGGAAAAAATGAATGTACGCTATGAATTGGGATAATTCAATTTTCACACTTCCGAGAGTAGGAGCCTGGAAATCGTATCAAGCGGGAACATATTGGCAAGCTTCTACTGTAATGACAAATAAAACCTATGTTAAAGCAATATAGCCACCACGGCGAGATGTGTATCCCCTCTTGTGACTTTACTAGATTTACACCTCTCTGGCATTTAGTGTTCAAGGAACACTAAAGAGAAACAATTAGTTGTTTTAGATCGACAAATTGCGCTCTGAGAACTTCAATGTCTCACTGTCCATTATTAGCGGAGAATATTGAGATTGAAGATTTTTTTTTAAGTCTCCCGCTGTAATCTTCGCGCAAGGCGTAATAAGTTCCACAAATGTTTTTTCTACACGGCATTGGCTAAATGAAATTTTTCTCAGACTTCTACACTTTGTATGCTAGACTATGACACCAACAGGTAACAGTGTGCTTCAATTTTATAGATTAGAAGCTACGTAAAACCCAGTAGACGCCTTCAAAAATTGACGTCACAGTGTTTTCACAGTGTTTGGTGCGGGAATCTCAGGCTGGCATCATCACCCGTAGTTTTTTGCGCATTTTCTCGCTTGCCAAATGTTGCCATCGCGGTAAGAGTGGTGTTTTCAAGATTGTGAAGTTGTACTTTACTAACATGCGAAAAAGCATTTTGTTTTCTATTGTCCTTCTAAGATTTCTGGCAATTCTTGGCATACGGGCTGTTGTCCGAATTGCATACACTCCTGCCAAGCACTTGATCCCTCATGGCTTCCACTTTGCAGAGCTGCAGCCGGTCCTGGTGGTCAACGTGTCTTCTACCGTAACCAGTCATCAGACTACTACTAGCTGCGACTTGTTCAACTAACTTTCTTGAGGTTGCAGACCTATTGCGCAAGTGTCTGCTTCATTGCGTGCGTCTTCTGAATGTCTGTAACTTGCAGCACTCTTTTAACAAGTGTTTTTTGGGTTCACCTGTCACATTTTAGCTGTACATATGTGCACTTAAATGACATAGACTTCAGGAAAAGCTAGAGTGTGAGCCTCGTTTTCATCCTCGGCATGGTGTGGCATTTAGCAGGGATTTCGCAGACAATTACAGTTGCTTGTTCATATGAAAATTGTGCGTATTAAGTGCGAAGTGGTCTAAATGTTGCTTCGTGTTTACTGGTGTGAATCTTGTATTCCAGAAATGAACTTGCTCTTCGAAACTTTTGTGTCTTTAAATAATAAAAATAGTAGGCATGCTTGTATTTAAGCATTTGAACAAATGTGTTCTGATCACAAGTTAAGCATATTGCAGTTTATCACGTGAATTTTCTTTTTCTTCATTGTTGCAATTCTTTTTTATGTCTGAATGTTTTGCATGCAGTTTTAGTACTGTAACAAGCATGCTGCCTTGTACGAGGACCATATTTAGAAGGCTTGTATGCAATAAAACTCTGCTACTCAAGTTGTATTCAGTAGTCTTATGGGAAGTTGTAAAACCTGCACCGCAGTTGTCATTCGGGCCCCTTCTTTTAGTTCAACTGTGTTAGAACAAACGATATTACCATATTAGTGTATACTATCACTATCAGAATAAGAATTGACATTTCCTGCCATTGCTACTGAAATACTGCATAATAAACGCACCCCTGCATTCATCCGCTGCAGTCCCACCAACCGACACATGGAGGTCTTTTGCCCGTCCGTTTTTTATTACGCCGACCTCCTTCGCCCGTTGCCGCTTGCCGCATTGAGCTTCACCGATTTACACGTCCCGTACGGCCCCGAACGCCGGCGCCGCATTCATTTGGGGGGGGGGGGGGGTGGACCAACTGGAAGCTCCGCCCATTGGTCCGTAATCGCTCGGACGCGTGTTTGTTTTTCGCGTGCCTGCGGGCGGCCCGGGACCGTCTGAGCGATTTCTTTCGGGCAGCTAGCAGCTGACAGCGTGGAGCGCATGCCAGTGCGGCCATCTCAAGTTAGACACGGAAATTTTTGACGTGCTCTTGCTCTCTCTTTGCTTTTCTGTCTGCTTCTCGCATGTTTCTGGATTTTGCATCGTTTGCGCACCCAGCTCTTGTCACCGGTGTTCTGAGCCACGTCAAGGATGTGCGTATTCCCAAAGGTCGAGCAAACACACGTTATGCTCGCTAGGAGAAACAGTGATGGAACGACCACACCAATCTACGATGTGCACATGCTCAATTAGTTCACTTACAGTAAGTTGCATCACAACAGAAATAAGTAATTCACTACCTAACTGCTGTTTAGGTTGGAATTGGGTCCGCATTGTGGCCTGTGTCACGGCTATGGAAGGAGCAGACGGCATAGCAGATGCCACAGCGAATGCAGCCAGCATCAAGCGCGCAGATGGCCCGAGGCCGCTCGGGCTGGCTCGGAACCTTTAGATCACGTGCATGTGACATAGGCGCCTATGAGCCGAGGCGTCTGCGGGCCGCCGGCGAGTGATCCAGGACTTGGTAAATCGGTGAAGCTCATTGTTTTTCTTTTTATCTGTGCATGGCACGTCCCGTCTTTTTTAATTATCTATGTGCCACAGTGGTGTTTACTAATTGTGAAAGTGTAGGGACATCACAGCTGATAACCACACAGCGAGCGAATGTCGCGAAAGTGCCCGCACCAACCGACGGTCACTTCCTGCAAATACGAAGCTTTAAGGCCCAACCACACGCACGCGATTTTCGAGCGACGACAAGATTCGCTGTGGCGAAGGGCCATTCGTCGCTGTCCCGCCAGAGGTTTCTAGGACCCCCCCCCCCCCCCTCAAAAAAAAAAAAAAAAGCTTGTCACCCAGAAAAGATCATGACTACTTCCACAACATTATCGCTTCGGTTGCAATTTGTTCTTCGTGCTTGTTATCCGCACGTACTTAAGAAGCACCAGATATAGGTTATCGTTTCTACAGTAACTTCTCATGTGGAGAGCGAGGCGGCGGCCGTATTTTGTCATTAATCTTGTTGCCAACTGTTCGTTTTGATGCTTCGGCGGTAGCTTGCTGCAATGTTGGTTACTTGCTACAATGTCAACGGCGGCGCAGCGGTCATTGTGCCAGGTTGCCGCGAAGTTGGCAAAGTGCATCGTAGCGCACGCTTCTGGGCACCCCTCGAGATCACAGCAGCTACCACTGTTGCAGTAGAACGATTGCGAGAAAAGATGGCCGCGAAACACTTTTATGGTGTGTGCGGGCAGCGCAGGAACTGCTTGCAGAAGATAGCGCCATCAATCACCGAACCTAAGTGCAACAAAGAAGCTGGATCCAAACAGTCTACATTTATTGCCAATTGCAAAAGGCTGAGCAACCCAACTTTTTTTGCATTACTGCATTTTTGCTCATTCCGAAAAAGTTTTCATATTTGCCCCGCATAATTAACGCACCTCCAACTTTGCTTCGATTTTTTGAGGAAAAAATGCGTTCATTACGCAAGTAAATACAGCATTAGGTGTTCAGCTTACTGCAATCTGTGCAAGGGCACTTGCATCTTCAAAATGAAGTCACAGAAGCAATTCATGATGGCTAGATTCTGACATGATTATTTAAGTATACCTTGCAGGCCCAAAGGCATTAGAAGGACAGGGGGAGGTGTAATGAAATAAGGAAACTCTCGAGGAACAAGGTGGTCAACTTGTTAGAATGTTTTAATTTAAAAGGAAAAAACATTGTCATATACTCTAAAAGCCCTCATTCGGAGAGTAGTCCCTGAACAAAAGTCCTTCACTTCAATGCTTAAATCGCTCTTTATCAGAGGCATATAAAGGGGACAGACGAAAGGACCGACCTTCACATCCGGTGTGTCCATGTTTTTACCTCAGACATAAGTCATCGAGGTTTAAGGCACGCAGTTTTTGGACATTATACTCTAGGGAAGTTGAGTATAATAGAGTTGTCAGCTTGTAATTGCTAAAGAGCAAATTTTGCAGTATTCTACAAGTGAATGTACATCAAAAAAACATAGCTGATAGCTTATCACAGCTCTGCTGTACACAAGCTGGAAGTGCCCCACAGCCAGCTGGCCCCGGCACTATAGCACCACCAATTATGACTGTGTTTGTCTGCTGCAAGCTGAGGCAAGCTGAGGACAAACTCAATTTTTAGATGCGAAGCATCTTATGGGTGAGCTTCATCCAATGGCACGCACGTCTCCTCTTTTTTCTACGCTCTTCCCCTTTCCCACTTCAAAATGCTGACGTAAGCAGTACCTGCTAGCCCACCCTCGCTCTCCCTTCTCTTCTAGGCATTCCTCCCTTAGGCATTTACAACCCCATTACGCACTTGTGTCCCCACTCTCTTTCCCCGCAATGTCAAGGCAGGCAGGGTCTGCTAGCGAGTTCCTTCATTGAAAAACAAATCTCAGCATATTCACGGAGTGAATGATGATTGGGGCGAAGCACTGTATAAAGTTTAAAGTTTCATCACTAAACCGTGAGCCATCTGCGAATATCGCCAACTACATCATCATTAAACTATATATATATATATATACATACATAAATACAAAAATTTTTTATTATTTGTAAGTGGTAGCTATACGTCGCCTCTGCCTGATCTCAGCTTCACTAGAAATGCGGTGGTCGAGTGGTCCAACTTACAGGAGAACTTGGGAAGCGACCACAGCATCATAGAACTCCGGATGGAAATTAGAGCACCACCCCCAAGAACCTATAAATATACAGACTGGGACCTTTTTAGGCAAATCAGAGGTGAAGATGAGTCAGTACATGACACCTTCGGTGAACTTCTTGTACAAATCCAGAAGGATGTCGAGAAGGCCACCAAAGAAATAGTAACAGAATTTGATGCTCCGGGGATGGATGCAAGGTTAGCGCACCTCCTGGACGCCAAACGCTCTCTCATCGCGAGATGGAAAAAACAAAGGCTAAATCGCAGGCTACGGAAAAAGGTTGCGGAGCTCAATCGGCATATTGAGGAGCACTGCTCCGAACTCCATAAACAACAATGGAGGGACGCCTGCTCGGCTGCGGACGGGAAAATGCGCAAAGGAGGCAAATGGACCCTCTTCAAACACCTCCTAGATGATGGACAATCCAAAGGCAATCAGAAACTAGCCATAGACCGACTTATTAATAAGGAGAAAATGGCAGGCATCTCAGAAGCTTCCCAATTTCAGATACTTGCCAACAAGTACCTCCCGCTTAGCCAGAGCTCAACTTCTGTCCCCCACCGGTATGAGGGTGTGCCTTCCCCAGAGTTGGACGCTCCCTTCTCGGAAGCTGAGATCAGGGAAGTGCTCCATAGCCTAAACGGAAGGTCTGCCCCAGGTCCCGATGGAGTTACGAATCGGCTCTTAAGAAATTTGGATGATAAAGCCATTCAGGCCTTAGTGAAGGAGATAAACAGGGTATGGGAGGAGGGCGTCGTACCAGAAACTTGGAAGAGGGCCACAGTGGTCTTAATCCCCAAGCCAGGTAAATCACCCAGCTTAGATCACCTCCGCCCGATCTCCCTTACTTCTTGCCTTAGCAAAGTAGCAGAACATGCAGTACACAACAGGATATCGCGCTACATCGAGAGGAATGACCTATTTCCATATAATATGGTAGGTTTCAGGCCCTCACTTTCCACGCAAGATGTCATGCTCCTCCTCAAAACACAAATAATTGACTTTCCAAGCAAAGATGTAAAAGGGGTCCTCGCACTGGACCTCACTAAAGCATTCGATACTGTCAAACACGACTATATTCTTAAGGAGATATCGGCTTTGAACCTGGGAGTTAAATTCTTCTCCTTCGTTGAATCTTTCCTCGAGAGTCGGACGGCGGCAATAAAACTGGGACAATCAGTCTCGGAGCCTTTCAAACTCGGACGAAGGGGTACTCCCCAAGGGGCAGTTATCTCCCCCCTTCTATTCAACATAGCCATGCGCAAGCTGTCGGCAAGCCTTTCTAAAGTTCCTAATGTCGGACACGCTTTATATGTTGACGACATTACAATCTGGTGTCCCGGAGGATCGGAGGCGGCGGTTGAACAAGCTCTACAGGAGGCTCTGGACGTTACAGAGTCTTTCCTGGAAGGTACGGGACTGGCGCTTTCGCCGGAAAAGTCGGAACTCCTGCTGTACAGACAGGCTAGACGAGGTGTTAGGGGACTCACCCCTCTCGATCAGGTGCCCATTAGCGTTTGCACCAAGGATGGTCGCACAATTCCTAGAGTCAATTCTATGAAAATTCTGGGGCTTTTATTAGACTCTAAGGGATGCAACGCAAAGACTATAGCCCATCTCACCACAAAAACAGAGAACATTCTGAGATTAATTATGCGGGTGTCCAACAAGAAGGGCGGCATAGGCGAGGATATCCTCCTTAGGGCCCACCACGCTTTCCTCATGAGCCATATCATATACATAGTGGCGGCTCTCAATTGGACCAAAACGGAAAGGGATAAATTGGACACGCTCATGCGCAAAAGTGTCAAAAAGGTGCTCGGCGTCCCAA